TAAGACATACTAACTAGGACATAATGAACAGTACCCATTTTTATATTTGGTCAAGGGCAAGAATGCTCTGCTTGTGGATGTCAGCTTAGCCCTTAAGCTGTTTTGTGTTCTGGAAACACAGAATGGTACACCATGTTATTTAATGTCACTTCTCCCTCCTCCCTCTCCCTCCCCCCCCCTTTTTGGTGTTTTCTGGGATACTTAGAAACCGTTTCATGTGATCAGATCACAAGAAGGCAATTTGTAACCAAGGTTTTTCTTCCTGAATATTACTGAATTAACTATTGTTTTGAAATGATAAGCAGTTAACAGTGTTGTAGCTAGTTATGGGATCTTGGTGGATTACTGACTTTGCTAGGTATTTGAATACTTTATAAAATGACAGATGCTTAATAAATTAAAAACTGTTATTTAATTATGTTTGTGCATGATTTAAGAACTTTTAAAGATAATTATATCACAGTTTTCTCCCCCCTGGGGGCTCAAATCCACTAACAAACCCCCCAGAAAAGATAGTACAAAGTAGTGTTCTGTAAGGGTACCTGGTGCTTTATGTAGTAATAAGCACTAAACGAGTTTGCACTCTAAATCTCAGAGTGACTATGGTTCATTTTTTGTCACAGTTCAGGGATGACTTCTGTAATCTTTAATGCTGTTCATGCGGCTTCAGTCAAGCGGAGGCAAGCTTGTACCTAGTGTGTGAAATAATTTCTTCTGTTTTGAGAGACTTATGATTGGTCATCAGAAAATAATAGCAGGGCAACTTAAACTCTAGCAAACAAGCAATCTTCCTGAGATTTAATGAGAATCTGAATTCAGGGGTTTGAATTTATAAAATTTGTAAGATAATTAAAAACATGCATGCCCACTTTTATTTGTTATAATCAGTGCTCCCTCTAAGTTGTGAAGTCTTGTGAGCAAAAATTCTATTTTGTGAGCTACTGGCAGTAAAGTTGTGAGTCACAGATTTGGTTACTGCATAAATTAGTTTGCTCCGGAGCCATCCTTCCTGAATTAAGACAAAAATGTGTGAGCCGTAGGCTAAAAAACTGTGATCTAGCTCATACTAAGCTTAGAGGGAACACTGGTTATAATACATTGATATCCTGCCTTCCATCCTGGGAACTCAGGGTGGTCTGTGTAGTTCTTCCTTCCTTCATTTTATCCTCACAACAACTCCTATGAGGTAGGTTAGGCTGAGAGGGTGACTGCTCCAAGGTCTTCCCTAGCAAGTTTCGTGGCAGCATGGGGATTTGAGTTTGGGCCTTCCAGGTACTAGAATGACACTAACTACTACCACAGTGGCTCTAGGATTAAGCTTACAAATTCTATCCTGAAATGTTTTCCCATTCAGTCATGTGTTCAAATCTCTTCCTCCTTCCCTAAATTTGTTTTCTACCCTACCTAGCAGGTAAGGGTAGTTTTAGACCAGGGAAATATACTACTACAAGAAGGGGGACCTGTGATACTCGCGTGTGGGGGGGGAGCTCCACGCGGAGGAGGAGGAAGCAGCTGCAGGTAAGCCTCCTCCCCTCCCCCCGGCACCAACGGTGAGGCTTGTGTGGCTCCCGCCGGGCCTGCCAAGCCTCCCCCCTTTCCCCGGCACCAATGGCGAGGCCCATGCGGCTCCTGCTGGGCCCACCAAGCCTTCTCCCCCTCACCCAGCACCAACGGCGAGGCCTGTGCAGCTCCTGCTGGGCCTGCTAAGCCTTCTCCCCCTCCCCCAGCACCAATGGCGAGGCCCGTGTGGCTCCCAGCTGTCAGGCCCGCCAAGCTTTCTCCCCCCCGTGGCAGCAGTGAGGCCTGAGCGGCCCGTCGGCCCACCAAGCCTCCTCCCGCATCCTCTCCCCTCCAGTGGCGGGGGTGGCGGCAAAGGATACTCAGAGCGTTCCCTGCGCATGCGCAGGGAATGCTCCTTAACTTTTGGGGGGATTTAAGTATCCCCCCTATAGTTTTTTTTACAGTTTTTAGATTTTTCTGCACATCTGGGGATTGCCCCAAATGTGCAGGAAAATCTCCCTGCCCCCAGGTGCCCCCGATGTGCAGATTTAGATATCCGCATGTGAGGGGCGCCTTGGCTATATAGATTTTAACTCCAGATTTTCCCTGGGGCTGATTCCACACAAAGGATATTTTTTCTTCCATGTGGTCATGTTGCTGGTGTGATTTTTGCTCAGTTTGCACTTGGAACAAATTCCCCATGGCACAGTGTAATCTGATTTCCCCCCCTTGTTAGCCATAGTCTTCCTTTCACATCAGATGTGGATTCAAACCCCCCCCCCCCCCTTTGTCATGCAGCTTCTACACCCACTCAAAAAAATGGTTAATGAGTACTGCTACTCAAGAATAGGGCATTACTGCACTCTAAAAAAAGTATTTGCATAGTGCTGCTCCAGCATAAGACTATACTTTGAATCCTTTGGTGCAACGCTCATTCCTGGAAAGCAGGGCTATTTTGGGGCAGGAACGCACCGGAACGGAGTTCCGGCTGGCTTCAGAGTTGGCCACGCCCACTACAGCCAAAACCTCTGCGTGCGTGGCTACAGAGGGAAGGCCTGGAGAGCGACACACACACCCCGGCGACTCCAAGGCGGGTGGGTCAGGGGGAGCCTGGAAGGATCGGGGAGACATTCAAATGGGCAAACCAAGGGAAGGCATGGGGGTGTGGCCTAACAAGCTAATGCTGTGCTGTCAGGGGTGTGGCCTAATATGCTAATGAGTTTCTGTTGTTGGGTGTGGCCTATTCTAATTAGTGCCTGCTGGGCTTTTTCTACAAAAAAAGCCCTGCTGGAAAGTGTTGAATGTCCCATTGTGGTTATTTACATTGAAAAAGACTAATTGTACTCCTGCTTGATAGAAGGGGTGAGAGAGCACTTCAGGAACTCTTTAAATGCTAATTGAGAATTATATGTAGTACCTTGCTCTGGGGGGGGGAACACACACACACACACCATATAAAAGAAATCTTAATTTGGTTGGTGTCAGGAGTGATACCAAGGTACCTTAGTTCACTGTGAAAATGCAGATGAAGGGGAGGTTTCCTTTCATTCAAGCACAAGGCATATCTTCCTGACTACATCATGTTGGGAAAGATAATTTTTTATGTCAAAAAACTTGGAGTTTTAGCATGAAAAAAAGAGCTGTGCAAGAGTGGAGGATGGATTTTTGTGGAAAACAAAAAAATAAGGCACACAACTAGAGTTGCTGAAACAGAGAAAAATCTCCATGTGGAATCAGCCTAGGTGATACTCTGAACTGGGCATTTTCATATTTTCTTCTAGAAAGCGGATGTCTGAGACTTATTTACTGCACTGAGATGAATAAGAGAATATGCAGCTTGAGACACAAGGCCCAGGCGATAAAGTTAAAAAAAGAAGCGTAGTCTGGGAGAGTTAGTAGCAAAAACTCAAAACATGGTACAGAAACAAAAAGTAGGGGTTAGCAGGAGGAGCAGTTACACAGTGAAGGAGGAGAGTTCTGTTTCTGGTATAGGAAACAGTGGTACAGGTCAGAGGTATTGAGGGGAGAAAATAATGTGTGCTGCTGGCACTGGATTTCCTTAGAGGTATCCTTAATTAAAATGGAGCTGCGGTGGCTCAAGTGGTTAAGACGCTGAACTGCAGGCTGTGGAAGGTCAGTAGTTCAGCGGTTCAAGACCCGGGTGCCTATCCTTAATTAAAAGAATAAACTCTGCCCCAGACCATTTATTTAAGACAGTTGGTTATTGATCTGCCTGTCTTACTGTTCTCTCTCAAAAAATAGCAGACAGTGGAGGTTTTAAACCCAGCTTTTAGAACAATTAATAGCTGGTCTCTAAGACCTACTAATCAGAATTTACAGTTATATGAAACATAATCTAAACTGGAGATTGAGGATGGCAAAACTCTGAAGACGTTGGCTGCTGCCTCTTTTTGGTATGTTGCCATCTTGGGGTCAGAGTAGCTAAAATATTTTATAGGCTTGTCTAGATGCAAAAAGTGGAATGCAGTATAGGTAAGCATTAAGCATTTTGGCTCTGTGTTGCCTGCTTGTGTACCTCGCATATGTGTTATAAGAATGTGTTGTTTTAAATAACATTTAAATGTGCTGGAATATTCCTATAAAGCAAGAATTTAGTATTGGGAAGTTAGACACTGGACTAAGTACTGAGATGGAGAGACTCCTTTGACCATGACTTTGGTGAGTATTGCTCTTCAAGTAACTAGATGTATCCAAACCCAAGGGAAGGTTGCTGCTGAAGATACGTCTCTTGTTTAGAGAGAAACAAAGGAAGATAGAAGGAGCATGTCCTAAGTTGCTGATTGGATTTAGAGATAGGTTCTCAGTTGGGAAAAGTTGCAGACCACTGTACAGAAGTGTGTTGTCATTGTTCTCTAATTGCTATGGACTTCTAAGGCAGAGGTAGGAATTACATGATCTTAAGCAATTCCTGCATAGCTACTAGTTGGACTCTTGCTCCAGTTTGCTTTTTTTTTTAATTGAAAGGGTTTCTACTTCTTGATGCATCAGTGTTTATACAATGCAGAGGCAAAAATACAGGCAAAATACCAATGTGGTTAAGAAAGAAATGTATGGGCTCCTCTATTAGGATTTTACATTAATTAACTGCCTAGGTATTTGCTACCTGAATTTTATCTATGATGATATTAAGTTCCACATGGCTGTGCAAGTTTCCCTTAGCCACGCTACTGAAAAGAACAGCGTTTTTGGTGAACTGGAGTGTGAAATCATGATCCAAAAATATCCAGTAGCTCTGGTGTGGGGAGAATGCTACTAATTGTTCACAGAACTTAGGAGTGTCAGTCACCATTCATTACAAACATCTTCAGATATATTAATGTGTCTTTTGGTTACCACATTGCCCTTTTGCTGCTTCTGTATATTTTGCTACATTTTTGGAAACTAGTGGAAAACTTCTGTATTCTTTCCACTAACTTCTTCAGATATATTAATGTGTCTTTTGGTTACCATATTCCCCTTTCACTGCTTCTGTGTTTCAGGGAGTCAAGCCAGCTAGCTTTGATAAAGTAGCAATTCCCGAAGTAAAAGAAATAATCGAGGGATGCATCCGTCAGAACAAAGACGAAAGGTAAATGTTCATTCATTCCACTTGTGCTAGGCAATAGAAATGGAGCAGTTCTGGTTTTAAAAGATGATCTTCCAGGTACTCTAATGTGTAAGAATTGTAGCGTATAATTTCTGAATTATCAGATACATGATGCTGAGTCTCTCTCTGTCTTGTAAAGCATGATTTCCAAAAGCCAAATAGATTTCAATCCTTAGTCCTCATGCTTTGATTTTAAAAAGACAATAAAATCCTGTTTCCCTCATTTGAAGAGTTCATGTCTTACCCTCAAAATAAGATTAGATAACACATAGTTTAGGATGGGCACTAATCTCTCACTTGATAGAAAGGCCATTACCGTCTCACTTAACACATGTCCTACAAAAAGGAAATAACATATTTCTTTCTCTCTTTTGGGCGGGAGGGGGGCAGGTGTGGAGCTTTAAATGTTTTGGCAGTGTTTTGCTATATGTTTGGAAACCAGTGCAAAACTGTATTCTTTCCACTAACGAGGATATATGGTCTTTATCTCACACCTGTCATTACTTTCCTACCCATTCCGACAACAAATTCTGCCATATAGCTTTTGCAGTAAGAACAATATGTAACAGTATATAGTATATAGAATGCATGATTTTTCATAAGTGGTGAACTTGGCTGTAGAATCTGTGGTCTTGAATGGTGTCTCCCAACATTCATACTCACAAAAAAGTCATCATGAATATAAATATGTCTTTTAATCTCAAGTGCAACACAGACATTTTGAAACCTAATGTCTTTAACCACCTTTTCCTCCTTTCATTTTCCCTTTCTTGATTTGTTTAGATATGCTATCAAGGACCTTTTGAATCATGCATTCTTCCAGGAAGAAACTGGTGTGCGGGTAGAGCTGGCAGAGGAAGATGATGGAGAGAAAATTGCCATCAAGCTCTGGTTACGAATTGAAGACATTAAAAAACTTAAGGGAAAATACAAGGACAATGAAGCAATAGAATTTTCTTTTGACTTGGAAAGAGATGTCCCAGAGGACGTAGCACAGGAAATGGTAGGTAATGTACTAGTCACTCTAGGTGTAGAGTTCGAATAAATCTAGCTCCAATTTGGCCTACTTGAAGTTTGGCAGGTTTTATGAAAATGAGCATATTAAAACAAACAAGGTGGTGATACAAAAATACTACAGGGATAACTGGGAACTTTTTACTTTTTTTTTCCTCCCTAAAAACAGTTCCTCCTCATGCTGCATGACACAATCCTTTAGAAACTTGCAGCTGGCAAGACAGCATCAGGGAACTACTGTCCCAGAGGAAGAAATCCAAAAGTGTTGGACTGTCCTGTTTGTTAAAATTCAGTAACTTGCATCTCAGTTTAGCAAGGTTCAGTTTTTCCCCATAGCGTCTCAATCCCATATTTTGTTAATCAAAATGTAATGGTCAGTACACTTATCTTCCCAACAGCATATCTGGTAACATACTTTTATGAGCTCCCACAAGAATGTACGACAAGATCATATCTAGACGTCAGTTCATTGTTTTACAGTTGCTGTTTTTCAGGACATATGGAGAAGCCTGTCTTGCTGCCTGCATTTTCCAGCACAGTTCTAAACTAGATCAGACTCCTGGTTTTTTTGTTTCCATGGTGTAAGATATCACAGAGTTGTGAGCATAAGAGTCCTCCTCACTCCCTAGTGTAATTCTAATCTCTCCTCCCCCCCAAGAAAAAAAAGATATAGCTAGGTCTTCTTTCTGTTGTTTAACACATGCATGTTCCGTGCCTGCAGCGTGTATAGGACAGTGGTACACAGTGTAAAGGATCCCACATAAATTGCTGGATGTGGTGATCCATGTTGGGTTGAGATTACATGTACTGCCTGAACAAATGATTAGTGTAGTTCTCTTTAACATTGTCAGTTAGTTGGGTAGGGTGCACTTTCAGTCCCCTCTAGAACAGCTGGTATCTGTCAGAGGTGATTTTGCAGGCATTCATTAAATGCACATGCTTGTATATAGTAGCAAGTGTGCTGCCCATGGAGATGTTGTGATGAGGTGATCGTATTCTGTATGATGGGATCTATGATTATTTAGTATTACGTTGCTTTGAGACACCCCACCACCACCACCACCACCACTTTTCCCATAAGACATGAAGGATCTTGGATTATTTTGCTGTTGATTCATTATAGCATGTCTTAGCAGGACATTCTGACATGCTGGTGTACTAACTCAGGTTTTATTTACTGTGTAATTATAGAAACCTGTTCAACTTACCTCAGCTTGCCTTTGCCATATCAACAGTGTGTGTACACTTTCTAGGTTGAGTCTGGATATGTCTGTGAAGGGGATCACAAGACAATGGCCAAGGCCATAAAGGACAGAGTTTCCTTAATCAAGCGAAAAAGGGAGCAGCGTCAGCTAGTGAGAGAAGAGCAGGAGAAAAGAAAGCAAGAAGAAGTAAATCAGAAGCAGCAGATAGAACAGCAGTTACAAGCAGGTGCTACCCAGCAAGCGGCAAAACATGCTGCTCCTGCCACTGGTACCACTGCCATCCCCACTACTTCAGCTTCAGTTTCTACGCAAGTAGAGCCTGAGGAACCAGAGGCTGATCAGCATCAACAGCTGCAATATCAACAGCCCAGCACGTCTGTTCTCTGTAAGTATCACCTGTACATATTACCTGACTCACACTTAATGCTTTTCCCTTTGGTGGGGGAGTTACTATCACCATGAGACTATGTAACATTAGAACTGGCCAGTGTACATTCAGTGCTGTGAAATTCAATTTGCAGGGAGGCATCTCTTCTGCAGAGACAGAAATACTTATGTGAAAAAGATAAATTTGTTTGGTCAGGGAAACATCCCAGAATACCAAGGAACACTTTCCCCAACCCCCAGTGGGGGAAGCCCAGGGGTTCCTGACATTAAGCAGCTATGAAAGACTGTTGTTGTATGGATGATACAGATAGTTTTGGAATCTTCTCTGGATTTTTCTTTCTTTTTTTGCTTGCTTATATTTTGGTTAAAGGTTGTATTTGGTATCACATGAAAATAAAGAAGATTAATAATACTATAACCAGGGGTCTTTTCCTAGAAAAAGAGCTGCAGAAGCTCATTAGCATATGGTATGCTAATGAGCTACTAGGCTATTAGCATATGCCATGCCCCCTGACATCACCAGAAGTGATGTCAGAAGGGGGGGAAGGCATCTTCAAAAGCCTCCCCTTCCCTTCCCCAGCTGGCCTGCTGGGGGGGGGAGAGAAGGGCTTTAGACTTTAAACCCCTTCTCACTAGAGTTGGGCCACAGAAGGAGGAAAGAGGGAAGGAAAGAGAGAGAGTAGAGAGAAGGAAAGAAGGAAGGAAAGGGGATAAAAAGAGAGAAGGAAAGAGGGAAAGAAAGAGAAGGAAAGAAGGATGGAAAGAAAAAGAAGGGAAGAAGGAGGGAAAGGAGGAAAAAAGAGAAGAGAAGAAGGCGAGAAAGAAAGAGAAGGGAAGAAGGAGGGACATCAAGCCCCCGCCACCCCCATGGATCCCTTATTTACCACTTCGGTGCTGGCGGCGGGGCTCTCCAGGCCTCCCCTGAGCTGCAGCACTTCTGCATGGGCCTGGGGACCACGGCTGTGGGGCTCTCCGAGTCTCCCCGGTTTTACACCCCAGCACTTCTGCACGGGCCTGGGGAACCCAGCTGCGGGGCTCCCCATGCCTCCCCTCAGCCCCAGCGCTTTGGCGTGGGCCCGGGAAACCTGGCTGCGGGGCTCTCCACGCCTCCCACCGGCCCCAGCGCTTCAGCGTGGGCGTGGGGCTCTCCCCGCCTCCCCCAGCGCTTTGTCGCCACAGGCTCCTGGGCTGCCGGAGCAGCGCTCCAGTCCACTCCGGCCCCAAAAGACCCCTGGTTGTAACTAATTCCTAATTCCTGTAACTAATTCTGGTTCAGCTCCCTGGTGTAAAGCCGTGTTCCAGGCCCTGGACTTTCACCATTAATATCGGTCTTCTATGACTAACAGAAACAAGGTGCTAGAACTTTGGTAACATTATGTACATTGCAAAAAGAATAATTCACATTCTGTGGAGTCTTTATTAAAGAGTAATCAAGGCTGTCTGTCTTGTAGAAACAGCCTACAAAACAGAAGGTCCATTAGTCTTTCAGAATTTCAAGATCAGAAATATTCTTCGTAACTGAAGGAAATCTTAAATCAAAAACAGCATGAAATTATTTCAGTCAAAGGGGCAACCACCGGTATTTATTTAGTGCTAATTAATCGTATTTCAATTTTGCTGTAAAAATAATAAATCAGGCAGTGGAATTTCTCTTTATGTATTTGATCACTCTTTGTAAATTATGGCACTTGTCTGGAACACATGAACTCATGAAGCTGCCTTATACTGAATCAGACCATCTTTAAGTCTTTCATATCACCTGGTCCTTTAAATTGGAGATCCCTGGGATTGAACCTGGGACCTTCTGCATGCCAAGCAGATGCCATTCACCACTGAGCTGTGCCCCCCCCTTAATGTTTTGATTAAAATATCTAGTCGTGGTATTTAATGGTATGTTTTGGTTAAGTTATTTTTAAAAAGGTGTTCCTGTTCAATGTTAATCCAGCTAAATTTCTTTCTCTCCCTTGAGCCAGAGAGAATTAGAAGATTTACCACCTTTTTAATCTGTTAGCAAAAGTTCTCACCTTCTTGGCATCTCTGTGTTAAGGATGTCCGAGATGGATCCCAGTCTGATCGGTGTACGGAGGAATATTGGTGCCTTCCAAAAGCTGTTTCTTGTCCAGTAGCCAGATTCTAATGTAATTCTGTCAAAAGAGTCAGCTATTGCTGCAAGGAATTATTAGAGCAAACATAAAACAAATGAGGCTTAGTTAGAGTGGGGCCTTTCCAGTTTTGAGTCCCAAGAGAGCCATCTACCTATAATACACATAAGCAGTGTATAAGTGAAATAGCTGTTCTAAACATAGGAGAAATATTAAATGGGAAGCTGTATTTGGAGAAGGGTAACAGTGACTTCAGAACTTCCTTAATCACGAGGGCGCTTTACCCAGATATGAAGGCCATATTGTTTTCTGGAGAAGGGAACATGCTATCTTTGAAAGATAGCATTACTGACACAGTGGCTCCTGGAAATATGGAAGATACTGATGGTCTGTCATAAAGATGCAGTAAGTAATATCTCAGCGAAGGCATGAAAATAATCAGTAACACAGGCCAGAATTTATAAATGAGATGAACAGTAAGAAAGGTCATAACTCCCCCCTTTGGCTAAAATGACATAAATCTGGGTTTGTCGAAGAATTGAAATGCTGACCTTTTTCATTAGTGTGTGGTATGGAAATAGTGAAATATGATCTTGAAGGTAGGCGCTTTTTTATCTTTGGGGATGATTTAAGTTCGGTGTTGCTGCTGAAAAGAGAGCTTTTTTGAAGTCTCGATCACTTGCCTTGCTTGATTCCTCAGGTTCCAAATGGAGCTACTTTTCCATTTAATGTCAAGAAACAGTGTTTTAGCCAGATTGTTTATATTTGGTATGGTGTGTATCATGGAGTAAGTATGGTGTTTGTTGTCCCTGGAACCTCCACTTTTAAAGACAATGGTCCTGATAGTTTTGGAAGAAAAACCTCAGAAAAAGTCCTGGTGCGGTCTCAAGATCTTGGAAATAAATGGGCTTGAAATCATTAAGAGGCAGGGCTTCTGTTTCTTCCAGAGGTTTTTCCAAGTGAATGTAATCTGGGTTTTGTAGTGGAGGGATTTCAAGAGATTGTTGTGAAGTAGTTAGTGCCTATATTTTTATTGTTATTGGACATTGTATCCACTTTAAAAGTCTTCCAAAGAGGCTTATAATAAAAATAAAAATGCATCATGGAGTATAACATTTTTGCCTGTTCTTCCAGACTAATTTTCCCAGCCATTTTGGAACTTGGTCACACAACTGATGTCATCTAAAATGTGACTCTTTTATGGCTTTTTACAGCTGATGGGACTATTGACAGTGGTCAGGGATCATCTCTTTTTACTGAATCATGTGTGAGTAGCCAGCAGACGGCTTCCTACGGTTCCCAGCATGAACAGTCTATCCCAACAGTTCCAGCCCCAGGGTATACGGTTCCTATTGGCCAGCCTCAGTCACAACAACCTGGAGGATATCAGACATCTGCAGGGGTAAGTGTAAAACTGGAGTAGCAGAGCAAAGACTGTTGTCTCAAGCAGGTTCTCTGGAAAGGCAGCCTAGAAATTTTCTAAATAATGGTGTGTAGTGCCCTGATCTATTATATACCTGGCTTTGTGCAGCCTTTAGTTCTTGGCATGAAGTTAAAAAGTACAGCTATTACTGAGTATGCTTGGGGGAACTTCATATGTGAGGCTGTTAAATATTTGTCTTCGATACAGTGCTTCTGCTGGGAGGGAGGACATCTGTTGTATGAATTTATGAATACCAATGGATCTCGTGGGTGTGCAATATATGTCAGTGGCAGTAGTACTCCCTCTGGTTGATTGCACTGCCTAAGAAGGTATATAGCATTTTGTCTAGCTACCAGCATTGTTGAGCTGCAGGGTGCAGTGAACTCTGTGGGAGGAAGCTTGTAACTGAAAGTTCGTGATGGGGCTTTAGGAAACGACTATTAGAAATGTGTGTTCTATAATAATTTAATTACAGCTAGTTAAGGTAAGGTTTCTTAACCATGTTAGAATGCTGCATGCAAACACTGCAGTTCGAAATGATCCCATTTTTGTGTTCTAATTTATAGCTTGCATTTAATTGCTCATGGGCACAAATACCTTTCCCACTTCATGTGTTCATTTGTGTTACCCTTTATCCAGTATCTTTTTCTGGTATATTTTCAGAGCTGACTTTGGGGGTCTTCTTAAAAAACAAAACGAAACACACAATCTGTTCCCCTATTCTGTTTTACGAAAGTTGTTCCTTGTGGACAGGTGAAAATATATCTGATTCTCAAATAACTGTCCCATGTCTAGAGGATGCACTCTTTCTGATTTGAAAATCTGCAGGTTACTTTTTGTGGCGGTATGTTATGATCAGTCCCACATAAGAATACTTTCCCATTCTGCTCAAATGCACTTATGAAGTTTTGTGTCCTTTTAAATCCATATCAGATGAGGCCATTCAGACTTTCTTTGTTTTTCTTTTTGCTTTAAGAAACAAAACAAAACATTGGCTTGCTTTATTTTAGTTCCTATGTTTTAGCTCAAGGACATGGCTTAGATCAATAAAACATTAAGCAATCTTCACATGCCTTGCTTCAAGGTTGAATAATCATGGCTAAGGCTGGTGGAATAAACTAACAGTTCTTCAGAGCAGGCCAGTAATTAATTGAACACTTAACAGGGGGGGAAATCTGTTCATATCCTTCTGGAAGTTTTAATTCTGATTGCAGTCTCATTGAGAAGAGGAGACTTGGGGGAGGGGGAGAGACTGCACTCATTTCAAGGTTCTAGGAAAAATACAGAAGTGAGTTGTGGGGGGAAATTACTTGGCTGCTGGAGGAACTATTAAATCATTTGTGTGTCTGTGTGCGCTTTTTAAAAAGTAATCTGGACCCTAATTTGTTCAACCAGAAAAATGAACTACTAACCTGCGGGGCGTAGGAAGATTGCTGCAAGCCTTTTCTCTAACGTATCCCTCTCCTAGAAGAAAGTTTAATCTTAGTTTTTGTAATTAAATTCTTGTCTTGTTCCACAGTTTGATGTGGATGATTCTTGATATCTTGTAATCCTTGGCTGAATAAAGAAACAAATTCTTGATTTTGGATAGCCAATGCACTCCAGAAAGAAAGGCATGCTGTCTCTTCAAAAATACTTAAACACAGTTACACTAAAATTTGGAAGGAACACTTTTATGCATACACTACATTGCCTGTTCTAAGCTAGTGTGAACATCTGATGGCTCTTTCACTCTTAGTGCCCCTTACATGTCAAATTTCTTGGTACTGGAAACAACTTGGGCATATTCAGATTGAGCCAGGTACTCAGAGCACATATCCTCTTCCTGTGCTTGTGCACTTTATGTAGTAGGAGAAGGCACTAGTGGAACCTGCCAGTCAAAGAAAAGCCTGCAGTCCTCCCAGGTGCATATATCCTCTTTCCTGTATGTGATGTCAGTCATCATTTGTTCATACCTCTCCCTGTACATTATGGTCAACATTGTGCCTTTGTCATGAATGTGTCTCCCTCAGTTCCAGCTCATTAGTCCATGTGATTTGTGTTCACTTCTTTTTTTGTTTCCTTCCTTAGCCTCGACGTGGCTGTAGCATGTCAGTTGGTGTTTCCCCTCTTTCTTTCTCCCCTCTCCGCAACACCCCTTTCAGTGCTCCTTCCACTCCGCCATCAGCGTCTGCACCTCTCTCTCCCTCCTACCTTCGGACTGCTCCTGAGGAAACCTTTGGTGAAAAGCTTTCCAAAGCCCTGGAGAGTGTCCTGCCCATGCACACTGCCTCTCCACGCAAGCACCGGCGTTCCAGCCTGCCTTCCCTCTCTGTCAACCCTGTATGTCACTGTATGCCTCCTGGCTCATTGAAGATAAGTCACCACTAAATACATCCCGGCTTTATTCTTGTAATTAGATAAGAGTGAAAAAGGATTGTGTTTACTCTGTACTATTAGAAAGCTGATTCTTCATCTTCCAAAAGCTGGCTGATAACGTCCAGATCTTTTGAGAGAGGCTCAAATGTACCATGTAGCAATTTAGCCATAGTTATAGATATACTTTGATAATCAGTCCTCCACTTCAGTCTCTGGTCAGTAACTAGTTATTATTCAGATTGTATGTAGCTGATTGTAACCATTTATAATCATACGTGTGTGTGTGTGTGTGTGTGTGTGTGTGTGTGTGTGAGAGAGAGAGAGAGAGAGAGAGAGAGACGCAGCATTGCAGGAAGAAGTTTCTTAAAATCAGTCAAATAGTCAAATCCCCAGAAGCCAGTTTCCTGCCATTCTGTATGGCTGTCATGCTTCCTATACTGTCTTCTTCCGTACTGTAGATCTCCCCTACCAGCCTTTGTTTTCACTTCTCTACTTTATCAGAATATTCTTAATTTGAAGCTAGCCAGATATTCGTGATTTCATAATACTTCCTAGATTGATCTGTCCCCACCCCGGTTTACAGGTTTGGGGTTGAATTTAGGTTTTGTTTTGCACACAAGATACTGAACTTAGTTAAAACATTGGTTCCATGCAGTTAGCTGCAGTTTTTTCTACATAATTCTATAACTCATGTGAGAAGTTCCTGTAAGTTTTAGTGTTATGCCCACAAAAAGAGGATAATGGAAAATTTATTTGAATCATTTTGTTTGATTCTATGTGAGCAGAGGAGGATGTTTTAATCACTGTTCTGTAGTACAGAAAAACACCTTTTTTCATTCATAAAGTATATACAAGACTGGTCCTCGTCCTTTGAACAGAGTCATATGAGAATTTGCTGCTGCTTTTCCAGAATATAAATTAACTCTTTGACACAGTAAACCCAAGGAATCATATTATGGATAAGAGCGACTGAGAGCATTTAAATATTTTATGTCGACATGCCATCCATTTTTTATTTCTCTGATGCTTGTATATGGAGTTTGTGTATAGAGTAGAAGATTGAAAATATATTTTGATGTGGTATACTGTAGTGGGCAACCTTTAATAGATGGTGTCCATTTCTGGTAAATGGGATTTTTAACTGTAGCATGGAATGGCTGAAAGGCTGATAGTTTATTCAGAAATGTCATGAAGCTCTTTGCTCAAATCCTAGTTTCAAAGCAAATCTATTCCTTTGATAGGCCACTAATTTTCATGAGTTGAATAGCAGAAATATAGTGTACATGGTGAAAAGCTTTCATTAAATGAAGTCTCTGTTCAGTACCCAACAAAAATTTTCATACTAATGGGGAAGAGATGGATGGAAAAGCAGCTTCTAACAAAAGCAAATATTGCCATATGACCTTTATCTGCTGTGGATGTATTTAATGGATATTTATAACACTTCAAAACATTTTGTGTGTTGACCATGAACTAGGCGTAGCCATTCTATAAGGTTACTAAAGAAAGCTTCCTGTTGAGCTGAACATACTAATATGCTTCTATAATATGTGAATTACTTGTCTTGTTCATGTCAATACAGCCTCACTCCATGGTGCATCCGTGTGGGGGAACCCCAACATTCCCAGATTCCCAGGTATTTTTTCCAACCGTTCATGAACGGCCAGTGTCCTTCTCACCACCACCCATCTGCCCTTCGAGGGTGGCCTTTTCTCAGCGGCGCAAGAGCACTTCCATCCTTGAAGCCCAAACGTGCCACTTCCAGCCATTGCTCAAGACTGGTCAAAGTTTGCTTCTCCCAGGTAGTAGTCCAACTGCTTGGACACCAGAAGCACTAGTGACAATGAGCACTGCAGCTTACAAAGCCACAGGAGAACATATTCAGGCTAACCCTGTATTTGAGGCGGCTCAAGTGTTTGGCGATTGCAGGCCTGGACAAGCACCTTCTGAGGATGCTAAAAGCGCGTTGAGTCAAGAAGCAGTGTATTTGATGAGCATGCGCTATCAGCCCCAGTTGCCTGAACACTATGATACTGTATCCCATAATTCCCGTGGGGCTGAGCAACACTTGCAGCAGGCACCTGAACAGAGAAATTTGCACGGTGGCCCTCTGCAGGGTTCTGCATTTGAGTATCAAACAGGGCAGACTTTTCTGGCAAGACAAATCCAGAACTTGAGGCTGGATTCTGGAATGAATCCGCTGTCACCGTTGTCTAGTATGTCAGCCCCACTGAGTGCGGATCCCACACAGATGAGTTTTCACCCGGTATTCGTTCCACATTCCGCACCTGCTGTGCTCACTCAAACTGGTGATGGCAGAACAAGCTGTGTGTTTGAGTTCCATGTTCAAGCATCCAGTGCATCTCCAGGAGAAGGTGGAGTCATACCACAGCGTGTTCATAGAAGTCGTCGAGGCTCAGCAGATTGTAATCAGGAGGAGTCTCCTCAAACGACTGTACAGCCTGGTCGCCTTCAGCCTGTAACAGAAGAGCAATGTAACTTCCTGGGCTCTGAGTTCATGGTGCCTAGAGGCACTTCTGTTCTACAGATCTGGCCAGAAGGTAGCCCAGGATACTCCAGTGACTCCTCACAGTTGACTTCCTCAGACACTAGTGACTTTCTGTCTCCTCCTCCCACTGGGGCATCTGCATCATATATTTCAGATTTGTCTCTGCCTGCTTCCCAGCTGGCTCAGAAGGTATTTCAAGATTCGCAGGTCTTCATCCATTTCCCACAGGGAACTTCATCTCAACAGGCTTTCTCGACACTGGTTTCTTCAGGACCGTCTACACTCTATTCTCAGGTTACAGGAACAAATACTTCCAAAAATGTCTTAGGTTTTTAGTTTTCCTTGACATCATATTACACGTTTCCTTATATTCCCTATCATCTGTCCTTTCCTTGATCTTCCCCTCTCACCCCCAAGTTACTTTAGTTTTGGAGACTAGATCGTGTGTTGCCAGAAATGTATTAGTTGTTGAAACCACTCTGATCTTAGCTTATTAGGAGTTCCCCTAAACATAACTAAGTTTGTATTGCTATTTTGACAAAACTTTTGCCTAGGGGGCTAGTCAATAGAGGCACAAATGGTACTCCTTTAACGATGTTTAAACACTTTCTTTTTACTTATCTGATGCTCACTTTGGATGCTCAGGTGAGTGAAATTAAGGGGTTACTTCATAACCTGAAGATGTGGACTGGCTATACTAATGTCATTCTTTAACAGGAATAAATAACAGTACTTCAGGAATGATTCTTCAAAGTACTGCTTAATATATCCCTCATTGACACATCTTCTATTGTGGGATAGATATTTTAGACTGTATACAGATGATTAGCAATTTCAGAGTTGTTCACTAGAGATGAAAGAGCCTTTATCGCCCATAATAATATACAGCTGCTTTTTCTGTTTCACACTGGTAGCGGTCAGCAACTGGCACCCCATGGGCCATATTGCCTCTTAACTGATGCAGTGTGTGTGCTCCTGAGAGAAGAAAGGGTGGATCAGCAGTGGGACTTCACAACAGGTGTTCCCATCCAGGTCTCTGAAATGCAGCTCTTTGTACACAGGCTAGTTTTACTGGTACAAAGACAGTTGAGGGCTTTCTAATATCCCATTAAAATCACTTCCACATACATAATTACAATTAAGGTACTTCAAGTACCTGTTTTTAGGAGCAAAGTGAGTAGCTTAAATGCAAAACCCCTCATTAGAAGAATGGCCAGAAAAGAAGGGGATGTATAGCATAGAAGGTACCAGAGTATTTTTAGAAATGGTTTATTTATATTATAAGCAATGTTTCCTCTAAGCTGTGGAGTCTTGTGAGCAAAAATTCTACTTTGTGAGCTACTAGCATTCAAGCTGTGAGCGAGCCATTTGGCTACTGCATAAATTAGTTTGCTCCGGAGCCATCCTTCCTGAGCTGAGACAAAAATGTGTGAGCCAGAGGCTAAAAAACTGTGAGCTAGCTCACACTAACTCAACTTAGAGGGAACACTGATTGTAAGCCACCTGGAGTTCCATAAGGGAGAAAGGAGGCTAATAAATGTTTTAAATAAATAAATAAATAAGGCAATTAATAAAGAATAATGAGCCCAGATAGAGGTTAGGTTTTTCTTGATGCTGGATTGCCAGAGTTGAAGAACATTGTAAATGAGCTTTGAGAGATTTAACAGTGAAAGCATTTATTTTAGATCCCCTTATTAATCTTTTAACTTTCTCTGAACTAGCTGCTGATCATCTGCTTCTGTTTTCATTGGAAAAATTAGTGATACCTTTGGGTAGGTTACGCTGTAGTTTGCAGTGCCCCACAGTGGTTATCCAACTGAATGTGATTGGATTAGTGGGGATAGATCAGGGGAGTTCATTGTTGTCCTCTGTTTTGGGGTATTGGATAGTGCACTAAAAAGCAAAGCGCGCTTATGTTGGTTACGTTTTTGAGGAATCTTTTATATGAAAGTTGTTGCTCCATTACTAAATTTGGATGCAGAATTTGTAACACTAAACATGAGAGCCTGGTGGAGTGGAGTGACTTAATGTTAGGAAATTTCTGGCTCAAATCTTATTTCAGCTGGGAATGTAATAGGCAAGTCACTTCCTGGTGCTCAGCATTCAGTCTGCAATATGGAGATAATCCTAGGCTCTCTTACTGTGTGCAGATAACCAAGAGAATGTATCCAACTGGGTTAAACACTGTAAAACACAATGGAAATACTAATTACTATGTATGAGATTAACATTTTTTCTGTAAGCATAATTCTGTTTGTTTGTTGGAAGTTCAGTAACAGGGTCCAACCTAGTGGTATGTGCAAGATACCTTTTCTTCTGCTCAAAGAGTGTTTACTAGTAGAGTGTTGGTGCCTTTTTCTTCACTGCTTTTCCTTCAGATCCTAGTCTTTCTGGTCTGTTTGGGGGGAGGGGGGGAATCCAGTTTTTGTTCTGTGTATTTTTATGTTGTCTCTCATAGCCGAGCTCATCAAACTGGTGTATGTGTATAAATACACAATTTGTCTCTCATAGCCGAGCTCATCAAACTAGTGTATGCGTATAAATACACAATCAGTTAAATAACCGTCAATTACAAAGCAATGAGAACTGCAGCAGTAAAACTTCCTTTAAAATGAATACATCGTAGCAAGTGAAAATGCAATAGCCCTTATAAAATATTTTTTAAAAAACACGTTAGCAGCAGATTAAAAACAGATGAATTGGATCAGAGCAGTTGCGAGACAAAATACAGTAACCAAGTCACTTAAGAAGTGGAAGAAATAGTAGCTTGAACTCCTTGAATGGTTCCTGTTATCCAGTTACTACCTGTTAGCTGTGGAATGAGCCTTGAACTTGAGCAGAGCAAACAAGAGTCTACTCAGAAAGCAGATCTAAATCTGCATGCCTCGTATGCCACTTACATTCCTTTTCCTTCTCATATAATATGTCTTAACTGTAGTTCTACACTTTACACTTCCACATTTTCATGTCAGCTGAAGGAAAATCAATCCTTTGCTAATATTTTTTCTTTCCTATCACTTGTATAGCTGTCCAGGCAGCTGTTGAATATTATTCAACCTTGTCACTTTAGTATTACAAGATCGAGGTCTGAAGTTTCCTCTTTGTTCCTATCATTTTCCATTTTATACTGAGATGAAGCTGCTGTATCTCAGGATGCAGTCTGCATTTCATTCTGATGGGAATGACACTGGAAAGGTGATCATTGCCATTCCAATCTAAATTATTTTATATTCATTCATAACAGCTTTTTTGCCTTGCTCACTCATTCAGAATTGGATGTTGTTAGTTTGCAGGCTATTTTGCCTTGGTATGTTGGCTTTCAGTATCAAACTGGTCTTTCTGGCAACCTTGAGATATTTCTGTTGAAGATTTAAAAACTGGTAGAGCATTTCTTGAGCTAAAATTAGTATTTGCCTGGATTTTGGTAGAAAATACATAATGAAATTGGCTTTTTCTGATCTTACTGTATGCCAGGAGTGTTTACAATAAACTTAAACGACAAATCCACATTCATCTCCCCATGTATTTTCACACAGCTCGTTGCAGAGCTTTGACATACTGTAGAAACATGACACTTGTATGGCAAAAATGCTTTTTGCAGAAATGAGATTTGCACACAAGCCTCCATAATACTGGTGGTTTCGGAAAGCCATCCAAAACAGTGCATTGTATTTTTACAATGCTGTACTGTGTTTGGAATATCTATATCAAAACTGTTCTATATCCACTGAGAACTTACAGTAAGGAATCTTCTTTCAGGTCCTTAAGTTCCATACAGAAGTTAGTAAATGATCTGATTCTATGTATATCTACTTCTTTAGACACAGCTGCCAGGGCAGCCAGCCTCAAATGGTTCATCAGTAGGCACGTCTTCCCAACTCATGCATCAAGGCCAGCAGGTAAGAGCAAGCTGTTGATAATCTGTATAATTTTTAGGCCAACATAGGCTCTTTGTTTTGGTGCTTTTTATAGCAATTCTAGTGTTTGGCTTTTATGTTTTCAATATAAGATAGAATGGTTCATGCGTATGAAAAAGGGTCTGAGTAGCTACATACAGTCGATAGCATCGCACAGTAGGTTATTCCCAGATGCATGGATTACACTTTATGGGTTCTTCCTCCCCAAGTACTTTCTTTGGGCTCCCAGAAAGATACTGACAAACGCATTGCAGACAGAAAACCATGTTGGTCGGGAGCTGCCACTGCAATGAGTAGAAGGAACTTGCAAAATCACCTTTTTCTTGTGATTTCTCCTCCTCCCTTTACTTCAGACACCAAACTTGTGTGGCTTTTTGCTTACACATGCCCCACAACTATAGGAATCCTCTTTCTGGTTGGGAAGAAGGTTCTGTTTGGAAGAGGGGCAGGGGGACCCACCAGTGCTTTCAGCTGGGTAGGCTGTATCCAATCACCTATCTGCTTTTTTATATCCTTTGCTCCTGTTCTTGAGTGGGGCTTATCTATTTCCAAGATGCAGGTGATGGTTGTTACTTTTTTTTTCTTTTGAGAGTTTTTAATATATTGTTGCTTATAATTACATATGCATAGAGAAAGGAAAAAATAGATGTATCCAAATAAAACAGAAATTCATAGACAAGAATCAGAATAATCTACAACAAATCATAAAAAACAAATAGGTAAATGTTGCCGCTTACTTTCTCATTTCAGAATGTAATAAACAGTATCCTCTGTTTATTAAATGTATCCTTTAAAAAAAATTCCTTCAAAATCTCTGGTGATATATCAGTCTTGTCAGTAAAGCAGTACACTAGATTTTATTAAATGACTCATTTACAGAATTTTCCCAGTTAGCTGCATTAACCATCTTGGCGGTAGTGAACAAATCTAATACCAGCCGCATATCTGAGGGATCTGCATAGCCTTTCAAGTACCCTAAGCAGTATGATCATAGGTTCAAGGGTGTGTTATTACCTAGCACTTCACTAACAAACTAGACTGCTGTTCTTCAAAACACCTGTATCTTAGAGCATGTCTAAAAGATATGAAATATGTCAGCAAATGATAACCACACTTCCAGGATTTATCCTGCAACAAATTATACACAAGTGCTAGTCTGTAGGGAGTTGGATACCAGTGAAAAAGTATTTTGTATGTTTTTTCTTTAAGACCAGTCAAAATCAATCTATGGCTAACACTCCCAGAGCCAACGCCCATTCGCCCTTACTAACATTAATCTACAAGCTCTTCTCCCATTTTTAAAACAAATGTAAGGGGTATCCAGGCTTATTAATAATGAATATATCTTAGCGTTATAGCCCCTATATACTTGAGCAGTGTTTAATAATTTAAAACATGATTTCATTCTTAGTCCATCATATTTCCTCATCTGTGTATTGCCAAATGTCTGACTTAAAAAACAACAACACAAAAATCTAAGAGCAGGGGGTTAGTCTCATCCCTTACTTTAGCTTTTAAAACTTACGCTATCCCAACAATGTATTTTCGAACCTGAGATTTTGGAATCTCAGTAGATGCAGTAAGCATTCAGTTGTACTTCAGGAAACAGCACAGTTGGTATTAGTACTACACCACCATCACCACTGCTGCTACTACTACAATACTACTATAATATTATTACTATAATATAAAACACTGGTACTGGACCCCACCCCTCCCAGCAGGAATTCAGACTTCTTTTAAAACTTATCATCCTGTTTTGTTGTGGCAGAGGACTGGATCTAGAGGGGTCCAAACAAGCATCCTCTGTTCTTCCCCCCAAGAAAATAATCTGCTTTATTTCTTCTATGCAGAGCTCTCAGCAGCCAGCCTCTTCCCAGCAGACTGGGCAGTACCAAGTTCAGCAACCACCCGTTTCTACTGGAGCCGTACCACCCCAGCCGGTTACACAAACCGCACAAATTATGCCTATGCCTCAGGTAGCAGCTGGGACACAGGTAAACTACAACCTCCAGAAGAGAGCTCATGTCTAAGCTTCTCGAACTTTTGACAGTTAAGTCTTGCTTCGTTTATTTGGCTGCCCTAGTGCTGTATTTGGAAGAATACAGGAGGGTTAGTTTGCTTGCCTGAAGGAAATTAGCACATGACATGGGAAGGCTTGCCTGCCCTGACACTTGGCCACTGCCTAAAAGGTTGTTGCTTTTAGTTGGTTTCCAAAAACGGTTTTTTTTTTTAAACTGACTAAATCTGTAGTCAGTTGCTCAGTGACCTGAGAATGCATGCTCCTCAGGATGCCTCTGCTGTTCTCTCTCCAGAGTCTTCACTCTTGGCTTAAAGGCCTTTTGTCAACTCCTGTGTATGGGGTGTCCTGAATGTGAACTTTGAAATAAACTATGGAGTTCATCTTAGTCATCTAAACTCCCCCTCCTCCCTAGTTGTATCACTTGCTCTGCTCTGTGGCACTAACCAGATCCTATTCTCTATATGCTGGCACAGTGGCTTTTCATTCACTCTTGCCACGGGTTGCTCTCCCCAGATGAGTAGACTGAAATGTGGCTGGAGCGATCAAGCTTTTCCCATTTGGAATGACTGTACAATGCAAAGTTAGACAATCAGTCTCTCTATACACTGATGCCACACCAGTATTCTTACTAAGTTAATCTGTTCCAATACATCCTCCTCCAGTCTAAAAAGGTGCAGCAAAAGAAAAGAAAAGCTAATTAGATATGGTCCTCCCAGCCACTCTGCCAAGTGTTTTTCTTACTCATGCCAGTTGGCTGTGCTGAAAATATTATTTTTTTACTAATACATTAAAAATATGCTTCTTACAACCCTGCTTCCTAAGTCTGTTTTTCTTTACCTTCTCAGCTTCCTGTTTCCCAACAAATGCCGATCATCCAAGGTGAACCACAGTTACCTGTTTCAGCTCCTACACTTCCTCAGCCTTCAGTTGCCCCGGTTATGCCCATTGGCTCTCATTATCTCCCTATGGGGCAGCCACTACAAGCCCCCCTTCTTCCACAGTTCTCAGTCTCTCAGCTGCCCATAACAGCACCTCACGTCTCAGTGGCCCAGCCTGGCTTCCCGTCTCTACCCATCTCTATGGCAGCTGGTATAAACCAGCCTTTGCTCACTCTGGCCACATCTGCAGCGGCAGCTGCTATTCCTGTGGGCTCAACTGTTGTCCCTAGCCAGATTCCACCTCTCCTTCAGCCTGTGGCTCAGCTGTCCAGCCAGGGTCTCCCACAGCTTCTGCAGCCAGCTGTCCAGTCCGTGGGAATGCCAGCAACTCTTGGACAACCTGAAGTACCACTTCCAGCTACAGATGCTGTGTACCAGGTATTGTGGCAGTCAAGTAAAAATCCCTCACTGCAGTCTCAACAGTTTTAGGCTTTGCTAAGAGACTTGGGCAGAGTTGTTTGCCGTCCTGGTTTAGGAGGGGAGCAGATAGGCCAGATGGGTTTTTAGGGCACAAGGAATAAGTGTCAATTTAAAAGTGAGTTTGATTGGTAGCAGGGGGGTGGGGGGTTGACAGTGAAGTTTTATATTACTGCTGCCTAGCATGGTGGCAGCTGCCAGTTCATACAGTAGAGAGTAGTACAAAATGTCTGTCAGATCAGCAGACAGCAGATCATGCTTGAATGTATGGTGGGGCATCAAGGGAACTGATGGGAGCAAGCTGTGAGATCTCCAGGTAGGAATGGTGAGGTTTTGGGGTGTTGGCCAGCTGTCAGTTTCTTCTTGTCCTGAAGGCAAACTTCCAGTTGTCACATAATGCAGATCGTTGAATAAGATGAGTAGGGCTTGCTCTTCAAATTTTTTTTTACTGCTTATCACCACAGTGCACAGTGTGCATGTGTCACTGCAGCTTGTGCTCTGCGAACCAGAGCATAGAGGATTCTGTTCGCTTGTCTGCCAGAATAATTTGACAAAGGCGTCCCTTGTTGCTGCATATTTGAGTGGGACCTGTTCATCTTGTAGTTTCTTCAGATTTTGTAGCTCAAGGTATCCTTAATAGCTAAGAGGAGGCTGAGGATATTCTCCACGCAGGTCACACAAACCCAGCCTCCCTTTAGCATCATGGTACACTGTTCTGGAGTGCATGGTGGTTTGGGGTCGTGAAGATGGCTCTAAGGTACGCGGTTCCATTCCTCTTGAAATAAGGTGCTCTGGAGGCTCTGAAAAGATATCTGAGAGTGTCATGGGGGGAAACTCCTTTTCAGCTTGGCCTGGATTTTCCCTTTCCCCCTCTCTGTTTCATACTGTTTTCCCCAAGTTACCCTAAAATTCACTAACTTGGCTTCCTCATTTGTCATAGGGCTTCCCACCTCGGCTACCAGCGCAGTATACAGGAGATTCAAATATTGCTCCCTCTTCTGTGGCCTCTGTTTGCCTCCCTTCTGCAGTACTATCCCCTCCCTTACCCACAGATGCATTGCCTCAGCCAGGCTATCATGCTGCAGTAGTGCAGCCCTATGTGGAACAGAATTTAGTTCCTTTGGGCGGTCTAGGAGGACAGGTTCAAGTGCCACAGCCTGTCACCTGTTTAGCCCAGCAGGTTTCCTCTGCATCCTCGCAGCAATCGGCACTAGAGGTAAATGATCTGTGTGTTGCACTTTGCATTTTGAAAAACAAAGGGCACGTGTCCACTCCCATCTTTGAAATCCAGTTAAAAATCGTCTGCTAATCTACAAAATTAATTTCTCTTACAGCAGAATGTGATGCCAATGTGGAGACCTTGTTGCCACTGGTTATGCTGTTGGGAAGTGAGTGGGCCTCCCAGATGCAAAACACTTGCTAGCACTTCTCTTCTGGCTAGTAATATCAGTCTTTATATTGATGCTATTGTTCATAGCAATTAAAAACCTCTTCTCAAACCTGTTCCCTACAGCCCTGCTGTTGCTGGGAGAGATTTGAATGGTCTTTGCACTCTGCATTGGCTTCTCTGCACATTCTGCTAGTAAGATTTCTGATTGCATGGCAAGCCGTAGTGCCACCACCTAGGGGAGAACATGGTTGACTTTCACCAGGCAGCCTGTTTCAGATCTGCATGAGAATTGTTCCTTGGGTTGAAAAATTCAGACTTGTTTTAGATGCTTTTAAACAACCGATCTAGATTTAGGTGCTTTTAGACAACTGGTCTGGATAAATTGCTGTGCAGCTTCTAGCTAGTAGATGGGTGGAGTGTGGTGAGATTGGCAGAGCACCTTAATAAGATGCTTGAAGGGAGAGTTTTATATTTGCAGAGTACATCTGGAGTGTCTCAGGCTGCACCCACGGAGCCTCAGCCACCAGTACAGCAACAGCCTTCGCAGTCAGCTCCATTGGTTTCCTCAGTAGACAGGTGAGTGGTGAACTACTACGTTGAACTGTGAACGTTCATGCTGGTGGTGATAGTTTATTCTGGTAATTTCTCCTGATTTATGATTGTTTAGTTTGCCTTTCCATGTAAACCAGTGACCCCTTTCTCGCTCTCTTTTTTTAAAGTTTTATTTATAGGTTTTCAGAAAACTATACATTAAAAAATTAAATACATCTTGTACAACAAGATATTAAACTTTAGGAGTCATATTTCATAATTAATACATAATATGATAATTCTCGTCTAACCAGGTATATAATTTTTTCCATCTGAATTTAAACAACAATTCATCTCTACCCTGTAAAATTGCAGTTAATTTGTCCATCTCAACCACAGCCATTATTTTATAGATTAGTTCTTTCTTAGAGGGTATCCCCTCTTGTTTCCAATACTTGGCAAACAATATACGTGCTGCTGTGATTATATATGTAATAACGTATTTCTCATCTGCTTTATAATAATCAGGTAGCATATTTAATAGAAAAAGTTCTGGGGAAAAGGGCATGTCTATCTCTAAAATCTCTGAAATAAGTTTACGAACTTTCTGCCAATAGTGCTGTGTTATATGACACCTCCACCAATTGTGGTAGAAGGTGCTCACATTATTTTTACATTTCCAGCAGTTTTTTTATAAGTTTGGATAGCATTTTGCCAACTTATCCGGCGACCAATGCCACCTGTGAAACATTTTATACACATTTTCCTTATATGAGATTGATCTTAAATATTTCACAGATTTCCACGTCTTGGACCAAGTATCAATAGTACGTCCAATATCCTGCATCCACGTAACCATAGAGCATTTCACTGTTTCATCACCTACATAGTCATCAAGGAGAAAGTATGAGCTTATCACTTGTGGATAACCATAGCTTATCTAAGTCAGTTTTTTCTCGATAAAAACCCTTGCGTTTATCTTTATCATATATCGCCTTCAACTGCATATTCTCCCACCAAGTCAATTTAATATTCTGCTTCGCTAGATTATCCTGTGGGATCAGATTATCATCTTCATCTAATAAGATTTCATAACCAGTGACCCCTTTGTCAAATTACAATAAGGCAGCTTAGATTTATTTACGTTATTTATAGTCTACCTTTCTCACAGGGACGCAAGGCGGCTTAGATGCACAGAGCAAAGTGCCTTCAGTACTCACAGAAATGGTATAACTTGTAATCGGGCCATGATCTGTTGGAGCACTTTATCAAGGAAGAGCTGAGCTGTCCTTAATCGTTCAGAAGGGTGCCTCATAAATCATAAAATATACAAGACGGATGCTTAGCAATGTTCAGAAAATTGTTTGTAGTTCATTTTAGAAGTAGGCATGTATTCACAATTTTAATTGCATGTTGTGGTAGAAATGTTTCTCTTTTACATGCTGTTTACGCCACACACTTGAGTTTTTGAGAGTGGTCCAAGATGTGAGATAATCCTTACGCATAATTTTAGAAAATGAAAATGGTTGATTTTGGTACCCTGTGTTGGCTTTTTTTCAGTGCGCATTCAGATGTTGCTTCAGGTTTAAGTGACTGCAACGAGAGTGTTCCCACCTCTGGTGGAAGGCATGAAGGGAGGACTACAAAGCGGCATTGTCGGAAGTCGGTACGCAGCCGCTCTCGCCATGAGAAGACTACACGTCCAAAACTGAGAATTCTCAACGTGAGTTAACCTGATTTGGGGTTCTGTGCTTTAAAACAATGTTTTCAATACACAAATTTATTTTGTCAAATTAATATTCCTGATCTGCAGTTTTCTGCCTTAATCCTAAGTAGATCCAAGTAACTACCTGTGTTTGCACTGTCAGCATCAAAACCATTCTTTGAAAAATAAGGAAGTGTATGTGTGCATATGTGTTAAATATGCACTCAGATCACACATGTTCTTTGAAGATTGAATCCTGAATTTCCTCATCTTCTTCATTTTCAACAGCTTAATTTTTCTTCATTTTCAACACCTTATAGTTATGAGGGAAATGTCTGAAATCTCATTGGGCAGATTTTGAAAGGCCTTGAAACCAGAAGAATTTCCTTTAATCGGTTTTCTGTGGATTTTTTCCTATCTCTGTGCTGCTCCCAGCCCTTCTATAGACCGTCTTTTGTCTATTTATTTTTCATATTGAAGATCAGCATTGTGTTTTCCAGGTTTCAAACAAAGGAGATCGGGTTGTGGAATGCCAACTAGAGACACACAATAGAAAAATGGTTACTTTCAAATTTGACTTGGATGGAGACAACCCAGAGGAAATAGCCTATATCATGGTGAGCAATTCAGATGGAGACTTTTTAATTGGCATTAATAACAGTAAAAGATTTACTGGCCTGTTGTGTTGAATATCTTCCTCCAGTGGTTTTCTTGAGGTACACAAGTAGGTTTGTTTGATTACACTGATTACGCCTTAACATGCTGCAATCTAGAAATGTCAAAAGTTGTTGCAGTTTGGTCAGTACTTGCTTAAGTCAAGCTGATAAAACATCTGGATCAGCTTCTTCCTTTCTGCCACATTTTTTCCATTTAAACCTGTTTTAAACTGCTTTGTACTCAAGGACTGTAAACCGGATAAGAAAATTGGCTAGTCAAAGAAAAGAATGCATAGTACACCTGGTGGGTGTGTATGCAGTATTCCTGAATTTGGTGATACACATTATTTGTGAATATAATGTGAGGTGGGTAGCCATGTTGGAAGATTCAAGTCCAGTAGCACCTCAAAGACCAACAAAATTTGACAGATTATAAGATTTCAAGATTCAAAGCTTCCTTCGTCAGATACATGTATGCAGGGGGTCCCTGAGGGTAAGGGGGTTGTGAATGAGAGTGAGGGGGTTGTGAATTTCCTGCATTGTGCCGCAGGTTGGACGAGATGACCCTGGAGGTCCCTTCCAACTCTATGATTCTATGTGCATTGTAACTGAGCTTAGACAAGGTTTATAAGTTGGAAATGTGGCTCCATTTGGAAACAACGTTATTGAGAATATAGTTACCTACCCTGTTCAGATCCTGACCTGGATAGGCCAGGCTAGCTTGATCTTGTCAGATCTCGGAAGCTAAGCATGGTCAGGCCTGGTCAATATTTGGGTGGGAGACCTCCAAGGAATACGAGGGTCATTATGCAGAGGCAGGCAATGGCAAACCACCTCTGAACTTCTCTTGCCTTAAAAACCCTACAAGGTTGCCATAAATTGTTGCCAAAAGGGATAGAGAATAAGCATATAAAGTGTGTGGCTTATTTATTCAAAAGATTGCTGCCTTTCCACCCATTTAGGGCCCTCAGGGCAATAAACAGGTAAAAATATAAAAAACTACTTTTAAAACAAACACATAAACAGATTAACAACATAAACAGGAAGGAGCGTCAGTAAGGGGAACACCAGATGAAACAAACAAATAAAACTTGATGGAACACCAGTCTCCTTGAGGGAGGGACCTTAAAAACCCTACAAGGTTGCCATAAATTGTTGCCAAAAGGGATAGAGAATAAGCATATAAAGTGTGTGGCTTATTTATTCAAAAGATTGCTGCCTTTCCACCCATTTAGGGCCCTCAGGGCAATAAACAGGTAAAAATATAAAAAACTACTTTTAAAACAAACACATAAACAGATTAACAACATAAACAGGAAGGAGCGTCAGTAAGGGGAACACCAGATGAAACAAACAAATAAAACTTGATGGAACACCAGTCTCCTTGAGGGAGGGAATTCCAGAGTTTTGGTGCCATGACCGAGATGACAGGGCACCCAAAGCAAGGCGCTGAAAGGTGATCATAGAGGTTGGGTACATTCCTATGGGAATAGTTTTTCCTTCAGGTGTACTGGTCCCAGTTAATGTAAGGCTTTAAAGCTCAATGTCAGAATTGAGCCCAGAAGCTGATTGAAAGTCACTGTAGATGAAACAAAGAAGTGAATTGGTCCTTACAACCCCAAACATTCTTGCCATAGAATTCTTGTACTAGTTGTAGCTTCTCTAGACACTCCTCAAGAGCCACCCCACATAGAGTACTTACCGTAATTCTAATCTAGGTGTTACCAGGGCATGCACTGCCATGGCAAGATCTTTTTTTACTCAGGAAAGGCTGCAGCTGGCTCACCAGCCAAGGCTGTTTAAAGGTGCTTCTGGCCCCTGTTGCCACCTGCATATCCAGCAAGGGAACCTGAGTTCAGCAGCACCCTCAAGCTCCCAACCTGCTCCTTTAGGGGAGTGCAACCCCATCCAAAATAGGAGACACTTCACTTCCTGGATCAGTGCTTCTACCCACTAGTGGAACTTCCATCCAGTTGGTATTCAGCCTCAGTTTGTTAGCTATCATCCCTCCCAAAAGAAGAGAAGAAGAAGACTGGATTTATACGCCGCCCTTCCCCTCCCTACAACAGATACCCTGTGAGGTAGGTGGGGCTGGGAGAGCTCTTTCCAGAACTGTCCTTGAGAGAACAGCTCTGACCAGAACTATGGCTTCCCCAAGGTCATCCAGCAGCTGCATGTGGAGGAGTGGGGAATCAAACCCGGTTCTCCCAAACGGCTTCCAGTGGGGAATTAAACCCGGTTCTCCCAAACGGCTTTCAGGAGATGGTTAGGCAGTGGGGTGAGCAGTACACCAGCGGAGTATCAGTCGTATCTCAGTCCCAAAACTGTGTATGCTCACTCAAAACTGGGAAAGTCCTGGACAGGGCACCACACTGGTAGGACAGCATTTCAGTAGACCACAGCAATACCGCTTGTCTGCCTGCCTGCCTGCCTGCCAGGCCTATGCTGATGTATCACCTAATACCCTGGGGAAGGGCACAGTTTGAAGAGGTTAACCCCTCCTCAACGAAACCTCGATGATGCATGCTGTCTTATTTGCATATTCAGCTTATTCCGAATGTAAGGCATAATTGTGTTAGCCTCCATAGCCAGTTCCTTTGCCTGCTTACAGCCATGGAGGGCCAATTGCCTACAACAAATCTCAATAGGACTGAATTGTTTGGTCTCATGATGCTTTCCATGAAGCTACTGTTACCTGCCCTGGGTTAAAGGGCAAATGTGAAGGTTGTTATAGTTATTCAGTTATGTCTTCACATGCAGGTGCAAAATGAATTTATTTTGGCAACAGAGAGAGACTCATTCATTGAGCAGGTGCGTGAGATCATCGAAAAAGCGGATGAAATGCTCAGTGAGGATGCCAGTGGGGAGCCAGAAGGTGATCAAAGCATGGACAGTATGCAAAGCCAGGTAAGGATTTCATTTCTGTGGATGTACTTGTGCCTCAGAGTCTCTGGCACAAAACCTTCTCTCTGTCACTGAGTTCAAGCTTTTTATTTTGCCAAGCAGTCTTGGCAGGAAAGCTGTACAATCTGAAACTGAACATCTGACCTTTTCCTTTTCTTGCTTGATATCATTTTCCATTCCCCTGTCCAGACAATTTTTTCATTGTTCCTTATTATCCCCCTATTCTGTCATAATGAGTCTGTTCCAAACAACTTTTCTGCTGCTGTAAGGAGGGAGGGAGGAGGCGTCCTCCTTCACCACCTGAAAAGGCTTTGGTGGGGCTCGTGGAAGCTTCTGGACAAGCCATGGTAAAGTGTGTGTGGGGGGAGGGGCTGTAGCTAGGAGGAGAACTGGACAGAATTGAGTGAAAAAGCTGGCTGGCTCCAACCCCAATGTGTTGTTTTCTAAAAGATCTTGTGTATTTCGAAAGTATTCTAACACTGTCAAATGCACAGGACTGTTTCATTATTTTGGCTTTGAACTTCTGCAGTGCTTTTTCCCCCCTCTGTTGGCCTCTCCCCCTTTAATTCTTACTTGTGTGTAAACTCTGCACGTCGTATTATATTTTTCTGCCTGTTTCACCTGCCTTCTTAAGGACACAAGAAGAGCCTGCTGGATCAGATCAGTGGTCCATCTATCTAACCCAGCATCATTCTTTACACAGTGGCCAACTAGTCGCCTGGAGGGCAAACAGGGCATAGAGGCTGAGGCCTTCTCAGCACTGCTGCCTCTGGTTATGGAGGCTCTCCTCAGACACCATTGGTAGTAGCCATTGATGGGCCTGTCCTCCATTTATCTGTCTAAATCCCTTTTTAAGCCATTTGTTCTTGTGGCGATCACTACCTCCATGGGTAGTGAATGCAACAGTTTAATTACTTGCCGAGTGAAGAAGTATTCTCCCCCCCCCAAGTACATCCTATTTCTTCTCTTGCTGTTTTAAAAGTTTCAGCTCTGCTTCCCCTAGCCTTATCCTGATTAAAATTGTTGTTCCTTTCTTTTTATTTCAGCCTGCACTTTTTTGTACAGTGGCTAAATATTTAAGTGCTTATTACATATTATCTTCTATACTTCTGTGCTGTTCTGTCAAATAGTCTCAAGGCAATTTGCTATAGAATATTCACAGATTGTCTAGTTATCGAGTGACCTCCATGTCAGTCATGAAAGTAGCAAAACCAAGCCTCTTAAAAGCCAGGCATGGGTTTGTAAATTAGCCAAAAGGGAGAAGTTCCAAAAATGGCCTGATGAGGACTGAGCATGTCCAGTAGGCTCAGAACATTAAGGGCAGCTGTGAATCCAAGGATGGAGGGGAGTAGCCTGCTCAAGACCTCATATTTCTTACAGAAGGCAGGAAAGGGAGATTTGGGGAGAGCAGTGTTTTCAAAATTGTTCTCTCCCCCCTCTTCCCACCTTATATAGTCCATAATTACATGATAACTAGAAGGACATGTTATTTGGAACAGCATGTGTACCTATGTGTGTTGTCTAATGCATTGGTACCTAGACAAGAAGTCAGAACTCTTTCTGATAAAGAGTAGGTGGCAAAGCTAAGTCCACACTTCCTGTAGTACAAGGAGACTTCTGGTGGTTTTCCACCAAAGAAAGGCTAGAGGGAAGATTCTTAAATTTAGCAAAGTAGGATGGTATTGTGGAAATGTTTCTGTTGTGGCATGTCTGACTATTCATTAATGTCTGTGTTCCCTAATACTTGGATTATGCTGCAAAATTATCTTTGTGGGTTGCAGAAATTGGATGGAGACTTCAAACGGCCAGATCCTGCATCTTCCATGCCGCAAAGAATAGGTAAGCTCTTCACAAGTTATCCTGTAGTCCTGAATATGTTTGGCTATTACCCCAAAAGAATACCAGTACCACCCAGATCAGTTCTAGAGTGCTTTCTTCTTATATAGCATGTCGTCCTTTAAAAAAAAATTATTTCAATAACAACAAAAAGAAGATGGGGAAAAATTCAAAATCCAGCCACTAAATAGAATAAAAAGGGGGGTTAAAAGAAAGAAAGAAGGTATATGTACCGTGTTTTCCCGAAAATAAGACACTGTCTTATATTTATTTTTTCTCAACAAGACACACTAGGGCTTATACCACAAATGCATAGAAATCCTGTTAGGGCTTATTTTTTGGGTAGGGCTTATTTTCGGGGAAACAGGGTAAAATAGAGACAAAATAACAGTGGTAGCAGACCTAGACATGAGTTTCTATAAAAGGTTTCCAAATACCTAAAAGTAAGTCCATTCACAGTTGTTTTCTATATGCCATATGTTCACATATTGATAAAGTACTAAGCACCTCCATCCATTGATTTACTGGAAGTGGGCATTTATCTCTCCAGTGCTGTAATACAAGTCTTTTAGCTGTAGAGGGTCCATTTTTGTTGACCATCAGTTAGCCTCCAAAAGACAGGTAGATAGCTCAAAAGTACATAAACATCCTCAAAAATCAATGAGTATTCTAATACAAAACTGATACGAGTAATAACTTATTCTCAGAAAAAATTAATGACTGGACATGCCCAAACCATATGTTTAAGGAATGTGTCCTGTGAATTACCTTACCAGTAGTAAGATACTTTACTCAGTCTTTTGCTAAAGACTTATGGTTTCCAGTATATCCAAAACATAATTTTTTGCTGAATAAGTCACAACTGAAGATCTGTAGAGAGAGCAGGTATAAATTTTAAGGACATATTCCATTGCCACGGCAAAATAGGGGGATCTGGCTCATTCCATTAATTCCTGAGACTCTGCATATAATATTTATTAATAAACATCAAATATTTTATTTATTTATTTATTTATTAAATTTATATCCCGCCCTCCCCCGTAGGGCTCAGGGCGGCTTACATGGCAAGAAATCTTGCGTTATAAAACATCAAATAATTTTGCAGATTTAAGAACATATTATGCAATTTAAAACCATCTCCATAAAATAAAGTGCTCAAAAACCTCAATTTCGGAACCTCAGAGAGATGACAACCACATCCAAACATCCCCGGTAGGCATTCCGCGTCCTCAATGTAAGAAGTTCAATTCAGGTGTTTCCTCCTTCCTTCCTAGGGCCTCCCCCCCCCCCAATGATGGTAATGTAACAGGGGGGACGGCGGCGGCCCCTAGTCAAAAGCCTGGTGGAAGAGCTCCGTCTTGCAGGCCCTGCGGAACTGCATCAGGTCCCGCAGGGCCCGGATCTCCTCCGGTAGCTTGTTCCACCAGGTGGGGGCCGCCACCGAAAAAGCCCTAGCCCTCGTGGTGGCCCATTTAGCATCTTTGGGGCCCGGCACGGTTAGTAAATTTTGGGCCCCAGACTGTAGTGCTCTTGGGGGAACATACGGGGAAAGGCGGTCCCTTATAGACAAATACTGTAGATTTCATTTTCTGCATCGATTCAGTTAGAGTTTCCAGGAACAAAGGGGACTTAGACACTTAACGCCACAGGTCCATTCTTAGATACCAACAGATGTTGCATTTGTAAATATTGTCAAACAGAAGTTGACAAGTCCTATCTAGACCTCAGCTGAGAAGATGACAGAAACTCATCAGCACGTTGTCCTGAGGTCGGTAAGGTTTTATGTGGCTGTAATTTTTTTCCTGTACCTTTTTGTTTTGTTTTTAGGTGTTCCTCCTAGCTCACTGACTCAGGTTGTCCATTCTGCCGGAAGACGGTTTATTGTCAGTCCTGTTCCAGAGAGTAGGTTACGAGAACAGAAATTTTTCACTTCCATTCCATTGGAAAATGAACTTTCTGATATTGGTGAGTACCAGTGTAGCCAGTGTATGCTGCTAGTAGTTCTAACAAATGCCAGTGCCTTACAGCTTAGCGACATAAGTACAATTAAACTGTCTGTTTTAATGTATTGCAATAGCAAGAACTATAGTGTGAATCTTTCCTTCTCCATCACTGTGGCATAAACATTTTAACACCTCTGGCAGAAGCGCTGAGCTAATTTTACTAGTGACCCTTGGGTGCCTTTTGTATAGACACTGGGGTACAAACTATACAAGAAAACCAGTTTCCTTACTCCTAACCTTTCCCCTACAACCATACGCTACATTGCATATCAAGTTTTTGGTAATGTTTAGAAGTTGGCCAAATATTAATATTTAAATGTTAGCTGTCAGAGACTTGTCTTAAAAGCAGAAAGGCGGATAAGTATTTTAAAAAATAAATAAAAATGTAATCCTCTGTAACTTGGAACTGAATGTATGGCTGATTTCACTGAAAACAGAGGAGCCTTGTAAGGAGGTGGGGCTTTGTTGCTTTTGATATTGCTTGTCAAGCTTAGGGAAGTGGGGGACATTCTGAAAGAATGAAAATGGGGGTACAGAGCCTATGCAAAAAAAAATAGTTTGACTGCACTAGCAAATGGAGCACCGATAATTTAAGTATTTTATTTAACTGTAGTATGTGTATTATTGTATTTTATACTGTTTTTATTGTTATAATCTGGCATTTATGCCTCTGTTAGCCGCCCTGAGCCTTCGTGGAGGGCGGGATACAAATCGAAATAAATAAATAAATATTTAACTTGGCCTGAAACGAAGTACCATACATTTCTCCAGAGAAAAGTAACTCTGATTCTTCCTTCCTCTCAGGTGTTGCTTCTCCATCTCATGGCCCTGGGATGAATCTCTCTCACTCTGCATCATCTCTCAGCCTGCAGCAAGCGTTTTCAGAGCTGAAGCATGGGCCAATGACAGAAGGACCAAGCACTGCACCCCCGGTCTTTAACCAGGCCATACCATCTTTTCCATCTCTCACTACAAGTGAGATTGGGTCACTGCCATCAGCATCAATCACCACTCCTTCAGTGTCACTTCCTTCCACCACTAGTGCTTCTTTACCAGCAACTCAGTCTGTTAGCACACAGCCAATAGAAGCACTGGCTGCTGGGCTTCCAGCGAGTAAAGAACTATCTGGTTCAAACTCTCCACCACCAGTGTTGCAATCTGGGCCACAGTTAGTCAGCGGAGTGGCTTCCAGTATCAGCGTACCTTCTTTTTCATCAGTAGCGTCCCAGATAGCTTCTGCCACTGGAGAAGTTGCCCCTAGTGTTAGTACCCCTGCTTCCCTAACGTTGCCACAAGCTGGAACAATAGGGTCTAGTGCTGCTATATCAGGAACCATGACGCTGCCTGTGACATGTCAGCAGATCGGTAGTGCTTTTCCTGCAGCATCCCAAACATCTGCACCGGTGTCTTTGGCACAGAGCATGGTTTCTTTACAACTGAGCACTAGCAGCTCTGTCCCTAGCCTAGCTGAAATGGTGGCTGTAAGCGTCCTGCACCCAAAGTCAGAGAATGAACAGTTATCAGACAAGCTGCAGCTGGGCAGTGTAGGTGGGACGGCGTTGCCTATTTCTGTACCTTTATCTTCTGCAGTAGCATCAAGTATGTCTGGCTCTGTGCCTCAGTCTGCTGGGGCACAGCCACTACCTATCCCACTGGTAGTTACCTCATCTATCCTAGCCCCAGTAGCAGGTGCAGTCTCTACTCCAGTATTACCCCAGGTTCCTTTACCTGGCATCCTGCCACAGGCACAACCAGTAGCTAATGTTCCTACAGTGCAGCAGACTTTAGTACATAGTCAGCCTCAACCAGCTCCATTACCCAATCAACCTCATATTCACTGTCTGGAAGCAGATGCTGACTGTCAACCCAAAGCACCTGGTATAGATGACATAAAAACCTTGGAAGAAAAATTGCGATCACTCTTCAGTGAACATAGTGCTACTGGAGCAGCACATTCATCAGTGTCCCTGGACACATCGTTACCAGTGGAGACGATAGTCATGCCTGGCTTGCCAACAACGGCTGTTGCACCCACGAAACCCGTGGCTCCTATTGCAAGTGCTAGTGTACCACCAGCCACCTTGTTACTTGGCCCAGCAGGTTTGCCTGTTATGACGCCTGTTGCTACACCTGTTCAGGCAGGTACCCCAGCCAGCTGTGTCCCAGCAGCATGTGTCACTGCACCAGGAACAACGAAACCAGGGACGACTCCTTCAAAGGCTCCTCTTAGCAGAGTACCGGTAAGGAATCAATATTCTTATGAACATATGTAAAACATGGGGGGGGGGATACTCTGTGAAAAGGATATCACAGTGTTTATACATGACTTCCTTGGTCATGGATATTCATTGTTTAAAGTTCAGCTCTAGGGGTGTGCAATATCCTCCCCCTCCCCCCGGTATTTTTTGGTTTGGGTCTATTGGACCTGAAAAAATTTCAAGATTCCCGAAAAATCCCGGATCCCAACACCAGTACAGTATTCGGATCTGGGATTTTGTGGAAATCCTGATTTTTGGGGGGTCCAATAGACCTGAGAAGACAAGGGGGGGGGATTGCACACACGAAGCTCTGCTGGCAGGGAGCCGTCCAACTTATTTAAACAGGGCTTCCTTAGAAGCCATCCCGAAGCTGAGCTGGCGGGGAGCAGTCTGCTCCCTGCTGTCACAGCTGATCCTCGGGCTGTCTTCTGCAGTCCCTTTAAACTTTAAAGGGACTGCAGTAGAAGCCTGACAGCTAAGAAGTGGGAGCAATCTGCTCCTGATTCTGCACTGTTTTTTGGATATACCTGGTAATTCCCGAATATATCTGAAATTTTTCTGGGGCTTTAAAAATTTTTTTGGGGGGGGGGTTTCACAAAAAATCACAGATTCCCTTGGGATGCAGACGCTTTAAGATTTTATGGGGGGGGTTTCACAAAAAATCACGGATTCCCTTGGGATGCAGAAATATACCCGAAAAATACTGATAAGGTATATTTCCAGCTCGGGTAGATCCAAATGCACACCCCTATTCAGTTCTTCCTTCTCTGTGTGTGTTTAGTCTTGCCTCTTTAGTAGTACTTCTTTCCACATCATATAGTCTTTCTATATGTAAAGAAAGAGAATTAATATATAACATGTCTAATATATAAAATAAAAACTTTATCTTGACTGTGCTTCTCAGATTTTTCTCTGGGAAAAGAATGGGGGGAGACTAAGGCGCTCTCCCCCCCCCCCCCCGTATGTTCTGTGGTCACTAGGGCAGAAGCCTAATAGAAAAGGTGATAACACTTGCTGCATTGTGCTGGCTTGTAGGACAGCAGATCAATCATATTTGAGAGATTTCTGTAAGATGCAACAGGAAGCATGAACGCATACTCAAAAAGGTTGTTCCCCAGGTGACATGGGATAAGGCCAGTCGTTGCTCAGCAAGTGCACGTGGCAAGAGCTCCATGGTTCATACTGGTAAAAAGCGCACTATAGTGTAGAGCAGTGATGGTGAACCTTTTAGAGACCGAGTGCCCAAACTGCAACCCAAACCCCACTTATTTATCGCAGAGTGCCAACTTGGCAGTTTAATCTGAATACTGAGGTTTTAGTTTAGAAAAAAGAACTCATACATTAAGATGATCCAAACAAAGTAAGGAAAGCAATCCCAAATGCTTTCATTTACTTAAAATTATTTGGCAGAGAATTCCACACTTTAATGATGGTCTGGGCCTGGCTGGGACGATGACATGCGTGCCCACAGAGAGGGCTCTGAGTGCCGCCTCTGGCACGCGTGCCATAGGTTCGCCACCACTGGTGTAGAGTATTGCTTTGGTCTAGCTAACGGAGTTTGAGACCAAACCAAACCAATTGTTTGCAACTTTGTTTGCTTCAGGGGACCATTTTATGACTTCCCTGTTGCTCCTAATATCAGTGGTTCTGAGAGAATGAGATGCAGAGGGTAGTCATGTCATTTGACACAAGCAAAGCTCCAGCAGAGTGTGGCTTAAGGCAATGAGTTTATCTGTTGTGATTACAAATAGAAGGAACATGAGGTTGGAAGAACTTGATTCATTGTGGACCAAAAGGGCCAATTTTGCAACACAAGGCTAGTGTTTGCAATGTTCATGCACTAGTCACAAGAGAAACACGGATTATACCAGTTTTAGGGGAAGAACTACAATTGTAAAAGTTTTGGCTAGAAAAAATAGGTTATTTTTAAAATATAGGCAAATATTTAAATGTATGTGAAAGTAGATAGAGCGTCAGTTCTTTCATTTTTACTGATAAGTACCATACAAAGGCAAGAGTGTAGGCTTAGTTAGATGTCCTGGGGCAGGAGGTGTTCCAGGAGGTCCTGCACTTTATTGTTGCATCCTGTGAAGGTGAAATAACTGTCTGGAATGTGCCCTCTTCTGCTGCTTTTTAGTCTAACAATTTCCTAGTAATCCAGCTCAGTTTTCCTCCCTGCCTTGATGCATGACCCAGTGCACATTTTTACAAATGCAGTTAAACAATCATAGCATGCCCTTGCAATGGAAATAGCCCAAAAATACTTGTGCCTCACAGAGCCAGTGTCTATTGCAAGCTTCTTGTTTGAAAGGATAAGTACTCTCTGCAGACTTTCTCTGCCTTCAAGATTGAGTTCAAGGTGCTTGATGTTTAAGCAGTAAAGATGACAACAAATGCTCTTGTAGAAAAAATGGGTTAATAAATACAATAACAAATATTTTGAAAAATAATCACACTATTTCTGTAAACGTTTCTTTGCTATAAACATGATATACAGAGAAGAATTCAGTACTATGTTGTGAGTAGTTTGGGATTTCTGCATTAGTTTAAAATGCTTAATTCTTTGTGGAGAAAACAGCTATAAAAAGCTTTAAAAACATCTTGGGGTTGTTTCACACACTGCTTTTCTGTCCTGTTTGTATATGACACTAGTTGAGTTAGGAAGTTGCTGTGTGGAGCAACACACTAACCTTGCATGGAGGTGTTCTGAGTAGGAAAAAAGCAACTCTTTAGTAGAGGTGGTATGTCAGAGCAAGTGTTGCATTAATCTGCCCCCAAAATACTTCTGCCTCACAGACTGACCAGAGCCAGTGTCTATTGCAAGCTTCTTGTTTGAAAGGATAAGTACTCTCTGCAGACTTTCTCTGCCTTCAAGATTGAGTTCAAGGTGCTTGATGTTTAAGCAGTAAAGATGACAACAAATGCTCTTGTAGAAAAAATGGGTTAATAAATACAATAACAAATATTTTGAAAAATAATCACACTATTTCTGTAAACGTTTCTTTGCTATAAACATGATATACAGAGAAGAATTCAGTACTATGTTGTGAGTAGTTTGGGATTTCTGCATTAGTTTAAAATGCTTAATTCTTTGTGGAGAAAACAGCTATAAGGTTAATAAATACAATAACAAATATTTTGGGAAAAAATCACACTATTTCTGTAAAAGTTTCAGTACTATGATGTGAGTAGTTTGGGATTTCTGCATTAGTTTAAAATGCTTAATTCTTTGTGGAGAAAACAGCTATAAAAAGCTTTAAAAACATCTTGGGGTTGTTTCACACACTGCTTTTCTGTCCTGTTTGTATATGACACTAGTTGAGTTAGGAAGTTGCTGTGTGGAGCAACACACTAACCTTGCATGGAGATGTTCTAAGTAGGAAAAAAGCAACTCTTTAGTAGAGGTGGTATGTCAGAGCAAGTGTTGCATTAATCCTGGGAAAGGCCTTAGTCTGGTTTTCCTTGTTTCAGATTGCCTTTAACTCTGGAGTCGGATCTTCCTCCAGTAGCAGCTACTGCTGCACTTTGGGTTTGCAGGAGTTGCCAGGATCTCAGTATCACTAAATTGGAGGGGGCTATAACAATCTTCATAGCAAGGCATCAATAAATTAACTGGATAAAATTAAGGACCTTTTACACACTTTTGCTTCTTTAAAAGTTAAACAGTGTTATTGAACCTGTCTTGGGGGGCTTCTAATCTATGTGATGATGTATGATTCTTCTGTTCTGTGACTGAACTTGAGTTTCATGTTCATTATCCATAGGCTCCAGTAGGTTCTGAGCTTCCAGCTGGCGCTCCACCCAGTGAGCAGCTGCCACCTTTTCCGGGACCTTCACTAACTCAGGTGCTATATGGCTGCTTCTCTTTTTTTCTTTCCTTTTCAAAGAGCATGCTCAAATTAAACTCTTATTGCATGATGTTTCCTTCTAGACCTTTATACTGAGCAACCTTTTCTAGTATAATCCTGGTAACAAATAGGTTTCTAATTTAGGTGCTATTTTGGGGATGCTGTGCCCCAAAGTTCAAATCCACCATAGCAGGAGAGGAGGAGGAGGAGAGGATATTGGATTTATACCCCACCCTCCACTACCCAAAGGTGTCTCAGAGCGGCTTACAAACTCCTTTCCCTTCCCCTCCCCATAACAGACACCCTGTGAGGTAGGTGGGGCTGAGAGAGCTCTTGACAGAAACTGCTCTTTTTCTAGAACAGCTCTTATCAGAGCTACAGCTTGCCCAAGGTCATCCAGCCAGGTGCGAGTGGAGGAGTGGGGAATCAAACCCAATTCTCCCAGATTAGAGTCCGCGCACTTAACCACTACACCAAACTAGCAGTACAAGGTAGCAACTTAACTCTTAGAGCGCTAGTTAAGGCTGTTGTGGGTCAGTACCTAGCTCTCTTAAGTTGTTCAGATATTATTAACTTTACAAAATGTCTGTTTTCATTATCTTTTCAGTGCATGGGGTTCTCTCCCTGCTTGAACTGCCAGCTGCATGGTGCTTGCATTTCAGGGAGAAACTTGAAGTGGTGTAGTCCACACATCTTAGAATAATACTGCAAGTCTTAAAATGAAGCCTACATTGTGAACACTTCCATTTGCGAGTAGTCCAGTGTAAGGACCATCTCAAGAAATGGAGGTGAACCTGCAAGTTCTGCTCGAGGGAATTAAGTGGATGTTCCAGCAATATGAACTGTAAACATCCAAAGCCAGCATTTCCTGTACAGGCTGTGATTGTGTTTGGTAACAGTAGCAAGCACAAGGCAAGGATGATGCAAAACTTATTAAAACATGCATCTTATCAATATAAAAATGTAAATTTCAAGAATATGCCAAATGTGTGAAAGTAAAGTGAAAAAGTAGACCATAAATAAAGGTCAGAATACATTTTAACATATGGGAATTGCTGGATTCTACCAAAGCCAGTATCATAATACCCCTGTGTAAATCTATGGTATGACTTCATTTGGAATACTGTGTACAGTTCTGGTCACCACACCTCGAAAAAGATATTATAGCATTGGAAAAGGTGCAGAAAAGGGCAACTAAAACTGTTGTATTGCACACTACCTTTGGTTCTGCTTGGTGTGTTGCTTCATAATTTGTTCCATGTTCTATCTTGGTTGTGGTGATATATAAAAAGCCAAGTTTAGACTGCCATCTAATCCACACTGGTTCATTGAGAATCATTACACCTTTGAGCATCAGTGTTGTCGTACTATAATCATGACTTGGTATTTGGGGGGGCGGGAATACCAATAATGGAATAGATTATACAAATTAAAGGAAGAGGTTCAACTCCCCCCTCACACAAAGCTCATTGGATGATCATGAGCTAGTTACACACACTCAGCCTAACCTACCTGGATGTCACATGAATACATATGAACACATAAAGCTGCCTTATACAGAATCAGACCCTTGGTCCATCAAGGTCAATATTGTCTGCTCACACTGGCAGTTGCTCTCCAGGGTCTCATGCAGAGGTCTTTCACATCATCGACTGCCTGGTCCTTTTAACTAGATGTGCTGGGGATTGAACCTGTGATCTTCTGCATGCAAAGAAAATGCTGTACCACTGAGCCACAGCCCCTGCCCGAGGCAGAGGTAGTTCTGAGGATAAAATAAAAGAGGGGGGAAACTATGTAATAGTGCTTCAAGTGCTATGCAGAGCATAAGGTGAGACACAGTTGGGTACGGGCAGTAAGATCCTAATTCTCTAAATGTTGCATTCAGTGCCTGATGGCAGCCTCCCTACTTCTGCTGCAGATTGATGGTTATGGGGAATGTACATCATTCTTTCCAATAACTAAAATTCATAACTGAGTGTCTGTCATATGAGACATTCTCACATGTGACTTGAAGGGTAGTCCTCCATGAGGCATGGAATATTGCATTCACTCAGGGGGTGGACAGGAGGGTAGTTTGCAGGGGGACTGTTCAACACATTCCCCCCCTTTTGCACATTGGACCTTGGGATCTTCCCCCCAAAGCCAATCTGTACACAACTTGGAGGGCAGACAGAGTGGCATCCCGGGGAGGCTAACTGAGAGTCTGATGCCCCTCTAGCTTGCAGGGGACCCATTTGACGTACTCTTTCCTTTTTTGCACATGGGACGCTAGGATCTCCCTCCCCAAATCCAATCCGCACAAAACATGTATGGCAGGAA